AAATGTATATATTTTATATATCCCACCATTTACACAAAAAAAGTTCTTTCTGATTATTTTAAATTTTCTTTTATTAGTTTATACAATTGCTTCTGAATGTATTTTGTGCACATTGAACGTTTCCAGTAAACACTTCGTACTTAGCTTAACCATACATCATTTTTAGATATATTCTATAGTTGTTAAATTTTTACATTGTATAGGTTAAAATTTGGCTTTTGACTGAGCATTATTATTTAATTAATTTATTTCTTTTCGTTTTATACAGGATATCGTTTTTTGTTCGATTGTTTTAAAACGTGACAAACTAAATAATGTTTTATAATATATATACTATATGTTGTTTATGTATCTGCCGAGTCAGATAATTGAAATGTTTCTTAAACTATTTAAACTATTCAATTTGTTCGTTATATTTTCTGTCTTGTGTCTGTTCTCTGYATTTTCTTTTCTAGTTGCTCGTTTATTGCGCTTGTGCGTTTAAATTGTTTTCATTAGTTTTCTTTCGATTTTGTTGTTGTTGTGCTCAATAAATTAGTTTAAATGCATTTTACATGAGTTTGTTGATTTTAAAAACATGTTTTGCTTCTACAATTGGTTGCTAATTTGTAATTCTTTTTTTTTTTTTTTTTTTTTTATAATAATATTTTTCACTAATTGGCAAAATATTTAGTGCTTGTTTTAAATGTTAACTAGGCTGCCATTTTTTTTTATATATAAAATATTTACAAAAATTGAGTTTTTATAGCTGCACTTGAACTTCTTTAACTAAGTCTACGAACTAGAAAAATTTACAAATGCACAAATATGTGGGTATATTAAATTAAATCAGTATATAGAAGGAAGGCGAATTTGTTGTAAACTTTGCGACAATGAGAGAAAGACGCTTAAACAAAACAACAACAAGAAATAAGAAATGATTTTAAATTTATAATATAAGGACATTTTTCTTAAGGACATAAAACAAGGAGCCAGAAGATGCCACAGTTGCAAATTAGGTTCAGCGCTCTTTGGATGGGCGGCGCTCTCCCAACTCCCCTACACCTTCTAACTTCCACAAACAAACATAAAGGAAATAAATTGTATACAATAAAAAAAGGTTTACAAAATTCGTAATATGGCTACGCTATCAGTCCATTGTTCGTGTTCAAGTCGGTTTGCATTTGGATTTAAAGGTGTGCGTGAGTATGTGTGTGTATTAAGTGTACAACAATCGGTGAGTGTGCTTAGCACCGCTCTTGATCATGACTGACTCGACTCAATCATCAGAGTATGTCCGGCGTGTGCGTCTCATCGTGCGTGTGCTGCAAGAGACCCTTTCTCTCATCCGGCGCCGTGCTGTGCGCAATCTCTGCAATCGCTGGCTCCGCTATGGCATCTGCGTACATCGACTCGTACACGGGATTGGCAAAGTTGCCCTGCAAATAAAAATGAGGCGTGAGTGTGTGTGTGCTGTGGCTAATTAAGTGCGCTCCATACCTTGTCGTCCTCGTGAGCGAAGGGCGGCGCTTCATCGGCATCGCCGCGGTACATGGGATTGGTCAGCATGATCTCCACATTGTCAGTGAGCCGGGCATGAGAGAAAGGCTGTGCAATGCGGTGTTTTCTGCAAGTGAATAGACGGGATTAGTAAATTGAACAGATTCCATATTCAAGCAAAAGACTTACTTGAGGAAATAAAAGACAGCGCCAAAGAGCATCAGCACCAAGGTGACCACTAAGAGCACCGCCAGCACGGACAATATGCCAGCCGATTCGTTGTGATCTTGTTCCCCACTCAGGGCCACGGCGCTCTCCGCCAGGCAGGGCACAACCCGCTTGTTCTCACAGAGGCATTCGTTGATGGAGCTGCCCGTGCGACAGACGCTGCACTCGCCCACACAATGCGGCGGCAGCTCACAGAAGTCGCCCTGCCATTCGCCGATGCAGGTGCAGTGGGGCAGGCGGTATTGATTGAGATGGCAGAGACCGCCATTGGCACAGTAGCGCACGCAGGGATTGTCATCGGCGACGTTCGTCGTGCAGAACTCCCCGTTCCACTGATCCGTGCAGTTGCACATGGCGACGCCCTTGATGACATGGCAGGTGCCAGAGTTTTGGCAAATGATGCCCGTGCAGGGATTGCGCGACGGCTGCGTGGATGCATCACAGAAGTGCGGCGGTATGGAGCTCTTGCACAGATCCGATTCGCAGCGTTCGCCAATGTAGCGCGTGGGGCAGGTGCAGCTCAGCCGGTGGCCACGATCGATACAGGTGCCGCCATTCTGGCAGAAGTCGCGACAAGAGTTCGCCTCGCAGTGCTCGCCATAGTAGCCGCTGGGACACTTGCACTGGCGCTGCCCCTTGGCGCCAATGATGCAGGTGCCGCCGTTGTTGCAGTAGTCGGCGCACTCATTGAACTCGCAGCGCTTACCCGTGAAGCCATCCGGGCACTCGCATTGCGGTGCACCCGTCAGGGTCTCGCGACAAATGCCGCCATTCTCGCAGGTCAGATTGAGGCAGTGCTCGCACTGATCGCCCACATACATGTCCGGGCAGCTGCACTTCATGCCCTCGGCCTCGGTGACCAGGCAGGAGCCGCCATTGTGGCAACGGCTCTGGCAGTCGGCCACAGACACCTCGCAGCGAGCGCCCGACCAGTTGGGCGGACAGGTGCACTTGAGCGGCGGCGGATCCTGCAGCCCTGGCAGCTGTGGCGCCACCGTGCACAGACCAAAGT